ATCTATTGAGATAATCATGTGGTTTTTGTTTTTGGTTCTGTTTATATGATGAATTATGTTTATAGACTTGCATATGTTGAATCAGCCTTGCATCCCCAGGATGAAGACTGCTTGATCATGGTGGATAAGCTTTTTGATGTGCTGTTGGATTCTGTTTGCCAGTATTTTATTGAAGACTTTTGCATCAATGTTCATCATGGATATTGGCCTGTAGTTTTCTTATTTAGTTGTGTCTCTGCTAGATTATGGTATCAGGATCATGTTGGTCTCATAGAAAGAGTTAGGGAAGATTCCCTGTTTTTTGTATTCTTTGGAATAGTTTCAAAGAATGTTTATGTCTGGTAGAATTCAGCTGTGAACCCGTCTCGACCTGGACTTTTTTTGGTTGGTAGGCTATTAATTGCTGCCTCAACTTCAGGCCTTATTAATGGTCTATTCAGGGTTTGAACTTCTTCTTGGCTTAGTCTTGGGAGTGTGCAAGTGTCCAAGAATTTATCCATTTCTTCCAGATTTACTGGTTTATGTGCATAGAGCTGTTTGTAGTAATCTTTGATGGTAGTTTGTACTTCCGAGGAATCGATGGTGATCTCCTCTTTATTATTTTTTATTGCATCTATTCGATTATTCTCTCTCTTCTTTTTTATTAGTCTAGCTAGCAGTCTATTTTGTTGATCTTTTCCAAAAAACAGCTTTTGGATTTATTGATGTTTTTGAAGGGTTGGTTTTTTTTTCCTCTATCTCCTTCATTTCTGCTCTGATCTTAGTTATTTATTGTCTTCTGCTTGCTTTTGAGTTTTTTTATCTTGCTCCCCTAGCTCTTTCAATTTTGATGATAGGGTGTCGATTTTAGATTTTTCCTTGTTTCTCATGCGGGCATTTATTGCTATAAATTTCCATCTAGACACTGCTTTAAATGTGTCCCATAGGATCTGGTATGTTGTGTCTTCATTCTTGTTGGTTTCAAAGAACATTTTTATTTCTGCCTTCATTTCATTGTTTATTCATCACTCAGGGGCAAGTTGTTCAGTTTCCATGTGATTGTACAGTTTAGAGTGCTTTTCTTAATCCTGAGTTCTAATTTGATTGCACTGTGGTCTGAGAGACTGTTTGATTTCCATTCTTTTGCATTTGCTGAGGAGCGATTTACTTCCAATTATGTAGTCAATTTTGGAGTAACTGCAATGTGGTGCTGAGAAGAATGTGTATTCTGTGGATTTGGGGTGGAGTGTCCTGTAAATGTCTATTAGGTCCGCTTGATCCAAATATGCATTTAAGTCCTGGATATCCTTGTTGACTTTCTGTCTCGTTGATCTGTCCAATATTGTCAGTGGAATGTTAAAGTCTCCCACAATTATTGTGCGTGAGTCTAAGTCTCTTTGTAGGTCTTTAAGAACTTGCCTTATGTATCTGGGTGCTCCTGTATTGGGTGCATATATATTTAGGATAGTTAGCTCTTCTTGTTGCATTGATCCTTTTACCATATGTAATGCCCTTCTTTGTCTCTTTTGATCTTTGTTGGTTTAAAGTCCACTTTATCCGAGACTAGGATTGCTACCCCTGCATTTTTTTACTCTCCATTTGCTTGGTGAATATTCTTCCATCCCTTTATTTTGAGTCCATGTGAGTATTTGCATGTGAGATGGTTCTCCTGAATAGAGTACACCGATGGGTCTTGTACATCACTCTTAGAAATTGTCTGAGAAGTTACTTGATTATTTAGAAAAATTTAGACATATTAAGAAAAGCCAAAAGTATAGAATCAAGTTATACTGGAGGAAAATATTGGTTTTTTAGACCTTTCAGATAAAACATTTTAGCTTCAGACCACAAGTTAGAACTAGAGGGGGAAATTACAGGAGGAGGAGCTGATGTTGAAATACATATACATACGCACAAAGATTTAATAGCTTTTACCTTAGAACTCTTGCCATGAGACAGCATCACAAAAATCACTGACCTATAAAAGATAGCTAGATCCAAATTATTTTTGGTAAAATTGGGACCTGTCAATAGGCAATTCAGTAAAGATTGTGGACAAAAATTTTGGCTAAAGTGCTTTTTATGGCAGTTTGATTTTAAAAAATCTTTTTTATCCTTCTATTTTTGTTTTAAATGAGTGTTTATTGTCTATATTTAGTTTTAAATGAGTGTTTATTTTCTACAGAACTGGCTGAACTGTGTAAGAAAAACAAAACCTCAAATAACCTTGAATTGGTGGTACTATAAAGAGTGAGTTTTATCGCAATACCAGGAGTTTAATAGCAGTAGATTCAAAGGAGGCAGAAAAAAAAAAGAAAGAAAGAAAGAGTTTTAGAAGACTGTTTAACTCTCTAGTTGTAGGTAAACCATTTGAGCTCTGAAGTTTTCTTGCTGTAATTTGTCTATCAGTTCAAAATGTGTATAGAAATGGGCTATAACCTGTAATTAGCTGCGGTCTCAGACAGGCTGGCTTGGCTTTGAACTTTCTCGTGTTTTTAAACATGTAAGCAAGGGTGCATAAAGATAACTGACAGACAAATGCAAATGAACAAGTTCTCAAATTGGGTAAAAGTCCAGCAACTATTCCCTTATCCCACAGTGGATGCCAATCAAATACAAACACGAAGTGGCTTATTCAGAGGAAAAGCCCAAATGGAGGGAAAGAGAGTTCCTGGTTGTACAAACTGGAGCAGCTTACCCAGTCCTGCAGTCCACTGACTCCCCCAGACTCTGCTTCTCCTTGCACCAGTGAAGCATTGTAGGTAGCTGATGCCTCAAAGGGGAGAGAGAAGGGAGGATCCCCAAGACAAAAGTGTTCTTGACAGTTGCTGGGATATCCCTGGAATCCTAGCCACAATATCAGCTAACCACCAGCAGATGGCACTCATAGGCGGTTGTTGCCCTGCCTGGTAGTGAAATTCTGCCAGGTAGCAGCCCTGCTGTGCTGCTACAGACAATTGCTCCATCTGTCGAAAACCAGGCAGGATAGACCACCGGAGGCACACAGCCCCATGTTGGGCTCCATAGTTTTAACCAAACCCAGGTTCAGCTGCTCGCCACTCAAAACACAAACATGAGAGACAAGAGTTGGTGAAAGGAAAAGCAGCTTTTTTAAGAGAGCCAGCAAACCAAGAAGATGGCAGACTACTGTCCTAAAGTACCATCTCAAGTCAGAACAAACTTTAGGCTCTTTTTATGTTAAGGGCAAGGGGGAAGAAAAGAGGGTGCAATAAAGAGATGACTGATTACCACAATCTGAGTGACAGCAAGGGTGTGAGGTGGTTAGAACTTTTTGTCTTTGGTCAGGTCACAATGTTTTTATAAATTTTTCACAAAACATAGTTGTTAACATAGGTGGTTGTTTTTTATCCCAGAGTTAGTTTTTTATAACTACAGGATTGTTATTTTTATATATTATCTTAGTACTCCAAAATTACCTTAGCCTACATATAAAATGGATTAAAGGCCCCGTATACAAAAATAGTTATATTAATTCTTTCGCTATTTCACTATTACATGACCTCCCGCCTTCTGATTACATTGGGCTCACCCAGATAATTCAGGATAATCTCCCCATCTAAAGATTTTTTCACTCAATCACATGTGCAAAGTGCCTTTTGCCATGTAAGGTGACATTCACAGTTTCCAGGCATCAGGACATAAACACTTTTGGGAGACATTATGATGCCTATTGCATCATTCTTCCCAGTGTTGTATGATTGCAGAGAATTTAGTGAAAGGGATGCTTCCTTTCAGAAGCCAAGGTAAAGTGTGTCCCTCTGAACACATACATGGATGTCATGAAAGTCCCCAGTGACAGGATTCAACTTCAGCTCCACATTCCCTCAACATGGCACTGGTGGCTAAATCTCCCAAGTTTGTGGTCCTCCCTGATGTCCATACCCATCAGAGGTGCACTTATTTCTTTACCTTCTTTCTTTACCCTGAAACACAGGTATTTGCAATGCTCAGGCTGCAGGGGTCTGCTGAGTAAGGGGTGCTAGAGGTCATATTTCTGGTGACAGGGGTTCTTCCTACTTCCATTCATAAAACACCACAAAGAAATATGGTTTGGTACAAATGTTATGAACAAGTAACAGGTGTACACTTTCCAATTTAGAGGATAAACTCTTTATACATTGTGTGCTACCTCCCTGGAACAGAGTACATCTATTTGACTTTTTTTTCTTTTTGACATAAATAAATGACTTAATCCTTTCTCTTCAAGAACAAAGTGTCTAAGTAGAAATAGAAGTTTTTCCAAATGTTAACCTTGCATGAAAAGACATGATCAAAGCTTAGTGAAGTTACATTTTAGAGTGTTTTAAAGAACAAGTTGAAGACTGATTACCCAAGAGCATGGGCATAAGGACAAAATACAGGATCACAAAAGGGCTAAGGTTGTTTAGGAGATTGAAGTAAGTCCAATGATGAGAAAACATAGGTCCTGGGGGCAAGGGAGTGATGGGAGATGAAAAGGAATTCCCATCCAGGACCAGATTCTCTCTTCTTTGAGGCTTTCTTTGGAATAGTTCATAGATCACATTTCTGCACGCTGGAAAAATCATGCCATCTTTTTAGTATCTCAAAATTAGTCCAAGTAACTTATTCCTTGCTCAAACTTGACAAAAGTCTGTGAACTGAGTGGCCTCTCTGTCCCTGAGCTCCACGCCAAGGCCTCTGCTAGTGTCTCAGGCCTCAAGCATCGCTGATGAGCCGACTCGAAGCACCTCTTGGCTAAAAAATCTCCGAGGTTTGTGGTCCTACCTGACGTCCATCCCCACCAGAGGTGCATTTATTTCTTTACCATCTTTCCTTGCCCTGAAACAAAGGTATTTGCAATGCTCAGGCTCCCACGGTTTTTACTTCTCTCACTTAAATTAAAACACAGTAATAAATTCCCACTATATGTCTCCTCTGAATCTCTCAGATAATAATCTTTTTTTTTAAAAAAAAAAAAAAAAAAAAAAGGGCTGACTGTTCTAAGTATTAGAAATGACACAGCACACTTTTGTCTTAAGCAGCTGTACAATCCTCCCGTAAGATGTCCTTGGAGAAGATGAAACAGCTTCATCTGGAGGAAGATTATCTACACCCAGAAACTAAAGAAGTGAATGGAATCCTCATGGCCAAAATGATTAGTGATAATTGGGACAAAATCTGGAATTTCCAAGCAAAACCTGATGATCTCCTCATTGCAACCTACGCAAAATCAGGTGGGTATGAGAAAACGGCAGGAAAGCCAGATTTAGGCAGAACACTGACACCTGGAATGGGTCTCCCACTTTAAAAATGCAGGTTTTCACCAGTGCTGGCCCTGAAAAAAAATGAAAAACCAGACTTGCTTATGATCTTTAATCCACTATGACCCAAGATCTTCCTCTTATTTGGTCCCTGTAAAAGAGATAGCCAGAATCCCAAATCCCCAAAGGACTGAAGGAATTGTGAAGAGCACAGAAGTTCTTACAGTAAACTTGCCAACCAGCCAGACTTTGCTCCCATCTGCTAAGGCCTCCTGGAATTAACCACAGTCCTTGCCCCTAAGAAGTTCCTCCCAGAGGAGGAGACAGATGGGGAACTGAATGCTTTCACCCCACTAGAAAAGTACTGATAGAGTTGGGCCCAAACCTATGTGAGTATGATGGGGAGGATGTGAGAAAGGGAAGCTGGCATTTACCAGACTCTTATGAAAGGAAGAGGAGTTTGTGGAAAAAGCAAGAGTCAGAAATAGCAAAGAGTGTTCTAGGCTTGTGCAGGGTGGAGGAACAGGGAACATCACCACCAGCAAGACTGTGATGATGACTAATAATCCCCATGTTATCTGAATATATAATTTCAGATAGTGTGACCAAGTAAAGCAAAGAACTTTAATCAGTTTGGTCAAGTCTCTCAGTGGTCACTTGACTCAATAGGAAGAACACTAGATATCCATAACCAGAAAGATTTCAGGAAAGGGCCCCTTCACCACAGTTCTTGGAAATGTGTTTCTGTCCTCTCTTTGGCTCCAAATTCCCCTCCTTAGCCTCACTCCCTTCTTACTAACTCAGCATTGGCTGGCCAGGGCTTTTTTAATAAACTTAGGTAGGGGCTTGCTATTAGTAGGTATCAGTTTCTCTAGAATCTCTTTTCTGTTTGATTTGCATTGGACACCTCCTCTTGTCCAGATGTGAAGGTAAACCTGTATTACCTCAGGGCAGAAATTTTATGTCGGCTTACATGGGAAATTATGCAGTTGACCCCAAGGCCCTCCATCTCAAGGCCTCAGTGCTTCCCCAGTCTTACTTCCCCATCTCCCCTACCACCTCTCAACTTCCTGAGAGCCCTCCTTCCTTCCCAGTGTGGAATATGCATGCCTTTGTCTTTGCTCCTGAGGCTCCCCGCCTAGGATGCCATGCCTCGTTAGTGAAGACTGACATTTTGTTCCCACTTCAGCCCTTCATTTCAGAGCTACCATCCCCCTCCTTCACTGAGCTCTACTGATGCCTTCTGCAGTGAGTCCACCCTCCTCTGAACTCCTAGAGCACTTTACATACCTTTACAGCCCTTCATGGAAGTTTCTCTTTCAGTTATCTGCATGTCTCATGTTTCAGTGAGTGTCAGGTTTGTCTGCAAGCCACAGAGACATCAAAAGTAGTAAGAACAAAATGGGTATTTAGTGGACAATCAGGTCTCTCTGCTGCAGTCCATCTTTTTGCCTACACACATGTCCATTCACGGTTCTCTTCTGTATCAGTTAAGATTCTATTTGACTACATGTGTTAGAAAACCCAAAATAACACAAAAGGAAAAGCAGTCAAGAGGCTGGCATCCTGGGGCTGAAACAGTGGCTGCCTTGGTCATCAGCCACCCTGGTTCTTGCTTTCTGCTCCACCATCCTCAGGTCTGGCTTGTGATTTTATGGTCTAGTATGACTGCTGGGCCTCCAACCACCACAGGCACATTCCAAATACTAGCAAGGAGATAGGAAGGAAGGAATAAAGGTCATGTTGTTTCCTTTCATGACAGGTACCAGAATTTACTGGCATGGCCACATTTATCTGTAAGAAATAGTAGAAAATATAACCTTTGAGCCAAATAGCTATATTCCAAGCTAAAAATTTAGAATCTATTAATTTGAAAAGAGAAGGAATGAATGCATAATAGCTATGGCAAGAAGCAGTCTCTGTCACATCTTATCTCCCCCCAAAATATTGTAAGATTGTAAGCTTGTTAGAGCAGTTACAATGGCTAATTCATCTTTATATCTCCCTAATTTTATTTGCTTCAATATTCATCCATGCAGCTACATTCATTAGGTACAAAGCCCTATGGTATGTACTAGGAACAAAGGGGAAAAAAAGAATGAGTCCCTACCTCCAAAGAGCGCTTAGTGTGGCGAGGAAGCCAATACGTAAGCAGACCATGATAATCAATGAGAGCAGATAGGGGCTGGCGCTCAGAGGAGAGGCCCCACCCACTCTAGATGGCATACAGAAGCCCAGCTCACCTTGGGGGTCATGCAGAAGACAGGGTAGGTGAGCTGATCCTGCTCAACACTCAGCAATTGGAAGATTAACTAAATACACGAGTAAGCATGAAAATAGAATTAAATTGTACCACAAGTGGGTGAAGATGAGAATAACTAATCCTTCTAGGCACAACCTGGACACAGGAGATTGTGGACATGATCCAAAATGATGGGGATGTGCAGAAGTGCCAGAGGGCCAACACCTTTGATCGCCATCCTTTCATTGAGTGGACACTGCCCCCACCTCTCAACTCAGGTAAGTTTGCCCGAGTGAGGCCTGCGGGGTTGAAACCACTATACTGGGTCAGTTTTCACCTGAGAGGAAAATCATTTCTGCAGTTAGCCCTTTAGAAACCATGTCCATAAGGAACCGGGAAGGAGTCTGAAGGAGTTTCAGGTCAAAACACCTGGGGAGAAAAGTACTGCCATAAATGATTACACTTTACACCAAATATACTAAGACATACAAGACATAGACTGTACCCTTGAATATTTTGTAATCATGTTGGGAATAAAGGACATGTTTTTACAAAGCCAATAGTAATAAACAGTAGTTTTCACAGTAGGAGACAAGCCTTTGGTGAGAAGGCATTGACGTTAAAATCACACAGTCCACTTTCAACTGCTGATGTAGATTTTTTATCTGGGTACCTTGAGCAAGTCATTAAGCATCGCAAAGCCTAATTTTTCTTCATTTGTAAAATAATAATACCTAATATTTATTGAAACCCTATTGTTGATTGGGCCAATTACTTCAGCAACATTTATTGAAAAATATTTTTTAATCTTTCCTCCCATTGAATTGTCTTGAAACTTTTGCCAAAATTAACTGTTTATATGTGGGTATATTTTTGGATTTTCTATTCTACTTCTGTCATTGATGTATCGATCTTTATGCCAATATTACACAGTCTTATAATTCCTATAGTTTGATAATAAGTTTTGAAATTAAGTAGAAATAAGTCCTCCCAATTTCTCTCTCTCTCTCTCATTTTTTTCTTTTTTTTTTCCTTTAGCTATTCTAGGATCTTTGCATTTTCATATAAATACTTTATTCAAGTTGTCAGTTCCTACCAAAACAAACAAGCAAACAAAGAAACAAAAGTCTCCTCATATTTTGGTTGGGATTGCATTAAATCTAGTCTCCATTATTTTGAACATTTTAAATTTTACTCAGTAATGATTTACAGCTTTCATTATGTCTGTCACATCTTTAGTCAAATTTAATCATAAGTATTGTTTTATTTTATTAAAATATTATATTTTGATATTGCTGTATTTTAATGTTTATTTATATGTTGCAGATATGCATTGATTTTTTCTTTACCCTTGTATCTTGCAACTTGGCTTATTAGTTCTAGATTTTTTGTACTTTTCTGTTGGATATTGGATTTTCTACACAGACAATCATGTCTTCTTTGAAGGAAGACAATTTTACTTCTGCTTTCTAGGCTTGATTTCTATTACAGTATTTCTTTTTCTTGCCTTATTTCACTATCATCTGGAGCCTCCAGTGTAGTATTGAATAGAAATAATAAGACCAAACATTCTTGCCTTGTCCCTGATCTTAGTGGAAAAGCATTCATTCTTTCACCATTAAGCATAATGCTAGATGCAGATTTTTTGTAGATGGCATTTATCGGACTAAGAAGTTTATTTTTATTCATTGTTTTCTCAGAGTTTTTAATAATAAACCACTGTTAGATTTAGTCAAATGTTTTTTGACTTGGGAATTCAATTCATTTATTTTAATTCATTCTTTGTTTAGTGCTATAAATTTTTATCTCATCATCATGTTAAATGTATTTGTTTTTAATATGTAGTGTTTTTGTTACATTTAATTTCACTACATTTTTCAGAATTTTTGAAACTTTATGCCAGAAATGTTTAGTAGAAGTTTTTAATTTCCAGATGAAAGTGCTTGTTTGATTTTTGCCTTTGTGTTTGGTTTCTAGTTTTATTGCATTGTGATAAGAGATTTGTTTATAAAATGTCAACACTATGAAATCTACTGATGTTTTGTTTGTGCCTTAATATATCATTATTTTGTGAATTTTCTATGTTTGCTTGAGAAGAAAGCATATTCTCTATTACCCAAAATATCTAATATATTATGTTGTTTAAATACTTTGTATCTTCTCTTTTTTCCAGTTGACTTATTTTGCACTGAAAGTTAAAACATCCTATGATTAACGTGTTCTGTTTGCATCTACTGTGGTTTCCATTTTATATAAGTGGTTACTGGATTACGTGCTACACAGATATCCATGATTACTATATTTTATTAATATAATGGAATCATTCACATTATAAACTTTCTTCTTTGTGTCATACATATTTGAGGTTGAATACCAATTTATCTTATAGCATCACAATCCTTGCTTTCTTTTTTAATTTTTAACATTTGTGGGTTCATAGTAAGTGTATATATTTATGGGGTACATGAGATGTCTTAATACGGGCAAACAATGCATAATAATCACACCATGGAGAATGGGGTATCCATCCCCTCAAGCATTTATCCTTTGTGTTAATAAACAATCCAGCTATGCTCTTTTAGTTATTTTTAAATTTACACTTAAATTATCATTGACTACAGTTACTCTGTGGTGCTAACAAATAGTAGGTCTTATTAATTCTTTCTAACTAATTTTTGTACCCATTAACCATCCCCACATCCCCCACACACACCCACACTACCATTCCCAGCCTCTGGTAACCATCCTTGTATTCTCTAACTCCATGAGTTCAATTGTTTTGATTTTTAGATTCCACAAATAAGCGAGAACATGCAATGTTTCTCTTTTTGTGCCTGGCTTATTTCGCTTAACATAATGATCTCCAGCTCCATCCATGTTGTTGCAAATGACAGGATCTTATTTTTTTATGCTGTCTTACTCCATTTAAGACAGCAGATTCCCTTCTGGCCAAAGTGTGTCTATCCATTCATCTGTTGACGGACACTTAGGTTGCTTCTAAATCTTGGCTATTGTGAACAGTGCTACAACAAACATGAGATTGCAAATATCTCTTTGTTATACTGATTTCCTTTCTTTTGGGTATATACCCAGCAATGGGATGGACGGATCCTATAGCAGCTCTATATTCAGCTTTTTGAGGAATCTCCAAAATGTTCTTTATAGTGGTTGTACTAATTTACACTGTAAACAGCAATGTACAAAGAAAGGTTCCCTTTTCTCTGCATCCTTACCAGCATTGGTCATTGCCTATCTTTTAGATATAAGCCATTTTTACTAGGATGAGATGATATCTCATTATAGTTTTGATTTGCATTTCTCTGATGATCAGTGATGTTCCACACCTTTTCATATGCCTGTTTGCCATTTGTATGTCTTCTTTTCGGAAATGTCCATTGAAATCTTTTTACCCATTTTTTATTGGATTATTGGACGTTTTCCCACACAGTTGTTTAAGTTCTTTATCTATTCTGGTTATTAATCCCTTGTCAAATGGGTAGCTTGCAAAGACTTTCTCCCATTCTGTGGATTGTCTCTTCACTTTGTTGATTGTATCCTTTGCCGTGCAGGAGCATTTTAACATGATGTGATCCCATTCATCCATTTCTGCTTTTTGACAATCCATGTCCTGAAGATTGTCCTAATGTTTTCTTGTAGTAGTTTCATAGCTGAGGTCTTATGTTTAAGTTTTTAATTCATTCTGATTTGATTTTTGTATATGGTGAGAGACAGAGGTCTAGTTTCATTTTTCTGCCTATTGATATCTAGTTTTCTCAAGCACCATTTTTTGAAGAGACTGCCATTTCCCCAGTGTATGTTCTTGGCACCTTTGTCAAAAATGGTTCACTGTAAGTGTGTGGATTTGTTTCTGGGTTCTCTATACCATTCCATTGATCTATGTGTCTGTTTTTATGCCTGTATCATGGTGCTTTGGTTATTACAGCTCTGTAGTATAATTTGAAGTCAGGTAATGTGATTCCTCCAGTTTTGGTCATTTTGGTTAGGATAACCTTGTGTATTCTGGGTCTTTTGTGGTTCCATGTAAATTTTAGGATTGTTTATTCTATATCTATGAAAAAAGGTCATGAGTATTTTGTTAGAGATTACATTGAATATACAGATTGCTTTGGGTAGTATGATCATTTTAACAATATTGATTCTTCCAATCCATGGACATGGAATATCTTTCCATTTTTTTGGTATCTTCTTCAATTTCTTTCACCAGTGTTTTATAGTTTTGATTATAAAGATCTTTCAGTTCTTTGATAATTCCTAGGTATTTAATTTTATTTGTAGTTATTATAATCAGGAGTACTTTTAAATTTTCTTTTTCAGATCATTCACTGTTGTTATATAAAAATGCTACTTATTTCTATATGGTTGGTTTTGTATTCTGCTGTGTTACCAAATTTTTTTGTCAGCTCTAACAGTTTTTCTGTGGAGTCTTGAGATTTTTCCAAATATAAGATTATATCATCGGCAAACAAGGATAAGTTAATGTCTTCCTTTCCAGTTTGGTTGCCCTTTATTTCCTTCTCTTTTCTGATTGCTTTAGCTAAGACTTCCAGTAGTGTGTTGAATAGCTGTGGTGACAGTAGGCATCCTTGTCATGTTCCAAATTTTAGAGCAAAGGCTTTCAGTTTTTCCCCACTCAGTATGATACTAGCTGTGGGTCTGTCATATATGGCTTTTATTATGTTGAGGTATGTTTCTTCTATACCCAGTTAGGGTTTTTATCATGAGTTCCCACATGCTCCAGAGGTGCCATCTGGTTAAAAACCTTAGAAATCTGCCTGATATTCTACTGTGCTGTGCCTAAGCTGGCACTGAAACCACAAAATGTAGTCCTTCCTTCTCTTCCTTCCCCTTTCCAAAGGCAGAAGAGCCTCATCCCATGGCCACCGCCACCACAGGCCCATAGGGAATACTGCCAGACTACCACTGATGTTTCCTTAAGGTCCAAGGGCTCTTCAGTCAGCTTGTGGTAAATGTTGCCTGGCCTGGGATACACCCTTCAGGGAACTGGGCTCCCCTCTGCCCCAGGGAAGGTCCAGAAATGTCATCCAAGAGCCAAGTTCTGGAATCAGAGTCTCCAACAGACTGCTTGGTGCTGTACTCCACCGTGGCCGAGCTGGTACCTGAAGCCAGCATGCCTCAAGGTCTCATTCCAAGGCCCTCAACATAGTACCTGAAAATTGCTGCAGGTTACTTGGGGCCCAGGGACTTTTCAGTTAGCAGGAAATGAATGCTGCCAGGACTCATTCTTAAAGGTCCTTCCCTTTAAGGTAGCAGACTCCCTTCTGGCCCAAAGTGTGTCTAGAAATGTCTGGGAGCTAGGTCCTGGAAGGGAAGCCTTAAAACTCTGACCTGTACCCTATTCTGCTGTGACTAAGCTGGTATTCAAAATGCAAGACTCCACCCCACTCTTCCCTCTTCTCTCCTCAAGTGGAAATAACAGATCTCCTCAAGTGGAAATAACAGATCCCTTTTGGGCCTATGAGCTGTGTAGTCTGGAAATAGGGGAGGAATGATGCCAGCACTCCCTTAGCCACACCGGCTGGTATCGCAATAGGTCACGCGCCCCCATCAGTCCATTGTCTCTGGGTTCAGTTCAGACTAGGACTCTCCTAGGAGTGGCAGTCCTTGCGGCCTAGACTGCCTTTTGAGTTTATTTACAGCCCCAAAACACTTTAGTCCTCTGTGGCAAGGCTTGCAGGAACTCAAATTCTGACCACAGGAATCAGTGATTTCAGTGATTTCTTCCCCCCCCCACCCCCACCCCAGTTAGGGCTGGGCAGGCGCCAGCTGAGTTCTTTCTGGGTTTGCTTTCTGCTATAAGAAGACAGCACTGAGTTCAATGCCTCACAATTGCTGTGTGCTCCCTACCCCAGTGCAAAGAAATACTCTCAGCACTACATCACCACTTCATGGGGGCAAAGCGGGGGCTGTTGTTGGCAATTCGAATCATTTTATTTAACCTCTTCAGTGCCTCTTTCAGGGATACAAAGTTAAAACCAAGTACTATGACTGCTCATCTGATTTTTGGTTCTTATGAAGGTGCTTCTTTTGTGTAGATAGCTGTTAAGTTGATAGTCACTGGATGCAGTGGGGGCAAAGGGGTGGCATGATCACTGGAGGCTTCTATTCATCACCTTGCTCTCCACAATCTTTGCTATCTTATAGTTTTCATTGTGTGTTATATGTTTATCCATTCTTTTATTTTTACCTTATATTAATTATTATGTTTTAGGGTATTCTCTTGAACAATGCATATAGTTGACTTCTCTTTTATGAGCCAATTTGAAAAATATTAATAGGTTAGTTAAGCCACTCACATTTATTGATGTGATTGATATGTTTGGTCACAATTATGTCATATCATCATTTGTTCAAATTACTGTGGTAATAAGTAATATTTACTGTGTTTCCCTATTTAGTGTATACTTTTCATTTTCCTTTTTGTTATAAAAAAAAAAAAGCGGGAGGTTGTTTGTTTTGGTGGTGTGCTTAGTATTTAGGAAAGTTTGTATTTTTTTTTTCCTAGTGGTTGCTTGTGTATTATTACCATTTACAAAACCTTAATTCCTCTTTTCTTTTACTTAATATTTTACTATCTGGTCTGCTGGTTTCAAAGGATCTATGACTCCTCCCATTAATTATACAATAGCAAATAATCATATTCCAAATATTGAGTTGTATTACTACTTGATGGGAACCTATACAGTTAGTTTACACATTATTCTTTTACTCATGATCTACCCTCATTAATTTAATTGTTGTATTATATAATGTGAAATATTCACCATTGATCCTTTTTGCAAAGATTTCCAAGTCATTTCTTGATTGAATGGAACTCATTCTAGCTAATTGATCAGGAAAGCCACATCTGGACTATATTCCCTAGTCCTTGCACATTTAAATCTTTTTTTTTT